ACTGCTGCCTTTCTTTCCTTAAAATCACCTTTCGTCGCTTTATGCATTGTTTTGCAAGTTCGAAGGTGAGCTGGTGCTTGTTTGTAGCTGTTGCGATTTCACGTTGGCCTATTACCTCGAGTATTTCTGGAGACGTGTTCGTAAACAAAGTTAATCTGCTGTACACGCAGCTGCAGTTCTTCTGCAGATCACGGTATGAGACTCACATGGCTGTTCTTCGCCCAGTGTTCTGTCAATCCTGTTTAGGAGGAGTCGAATTTGAAGTTTGTGGACGGCAGACAGCAAGTAGTAGATTGGGCAACAGTTACCGATATCGTGTAGGTCACCCTTCTTGAATATGAGCACAGTCTTACTGGCCTTCCAATGAGTAGGGACCCTGCATTCAGACAGATAACGTGCGAAGAGCCGGTGTGTTTACGAGGACTGGCGGAAGGTTCTTCAGGTGTTTTGATCTTATCCTGTCCAGACTTGGTGCTGTTCCATATTTAACCGACGAAACGGTATGTCGGATTTCGAAAGGGAGAGCCGGTGGTACAACATATCCATCCTCCTTTATTTCACATGATGGAAGGTGGACGTGGCTATCGAAGAGATCTGAGTAGTATTCATGAATGACTTTTTCTATTGCCCTTCTGTACGCTGTAACTGTTCCGCCTGGGCGCAGGAGTGTAATTATTTTGGTCCTGTAATTGACGAAGCTTCGATGTGCTTTGCGAATGGTTTTCCCAGCCTCTTCAGCTTCGATAATATCTACTGCTCTTGTCTCTCTAAGATCTTCTTTTATCGCCTGCCTGCATTGTTTTCCAAGTTCGGACGTTAGTTCGCGCTTGCCTGCACCTCGTGCGATTCCACCCTAGTGTATCAGCTCGAGAGTTTCTGGAGATAGACGTCTTCTATTGGTGACTTTCGAACCCTCAGCTTTCATAGCACTGCCGTGAAGATGTTGAATGAGCCGATCGTCTTACTTCTTGATGTTGTTAAGAACGGCGTTCTTCCCAGCAGCCGACTAATGAACTGAGTAAATCACACCTTATAGTGGTTTTTCTACTCTTTTTTTAAAGTTTCTTTTTTTCCTTTCTGCGACAAATCATATCTTATGCGAAGAAGGCGATGATCTAATCCCGTGTAGAATTTTGAGACAAGATCGACATCGGTTAGGCAAGACTTTCGATTTACTATGATGTGGTTCAGTGGTTACGGGACTCTCTACTGCGGCACAGTCACGTCCAGCGTTGCGAGTGAGGCTTCTGAAATTGTGAGTTACCAGGAATAGTCTTGGTTGTAATGATAACGTCAAATAGCTTCTCACCTTGCTTGTTGCATTCTAATTCGTGGGTCCCATTGTGATATTCTTCTAACATCTCTCAGACAATCTTCTCGGTCCAGTGCAGGCGTTAAAATCTTCAATAAGGTCAATAAAAAATGTAAAGTCTTCTCTGTACAACTTCTCCAACTCCATATAGATCGCTTCGACTTTGTCCTCGCCATAGCTCCATGTCGATGCATTGAAAATGAGGATGTAAAAGCCGTTATTGATCCATATCTCTCGTCTGGTTCCAGTTGTTAGTTGCTCAAATAGATCCACGGTCACGGTCCAAGTCGTGTTGACGAGAACGTCGGCGCCGAGGACTCCTGTATTGTCGAATGTTTCAAGGAAGAGTTCTTTTCATATGTGATAGACGGAATTGAATGCGTGGTGTTTTCTCGTCTGAGCCAATTCAATGACGTCGTACCTTATCCTTCTTGCGTGCATGATCAAGTCCACTGTCGAAGACAGATGCAAGTGAGCATGCATTGTAAACAGAGATATACTGACGTTGACGGTACTCTTATCGGAAAGCTAGGTAGCCTAGAAAGGCCCTGAAATTTTAGCAGCCTCTCCGTACTTGTCCTACCCAACGCTACCGAATCGGGACTCTTTCGGGGTGCGGGAAATGAGGCCCGTTTATTTTACAGTGTTTAGCGTTTGATACCTGTGTATAGCTTGTTGAGTTGTGAACGTAAGGGTTGAGTATACTCACGGGTAACTTTCTAGTCCATCTCACGGGGAATTCTTTGTTGGAGGTGACTACTAGACTACTAACCGTCTCCCATATATTTACCAATCATTTGATTGCAGACGTTTTTGTAATCGTAGAATGCAATCCGTATAAATGAAAATACACCCACGCACGCATGCATGAACATAATTTCGTAAACACAGAAAGCATGTGCCAAGTCAGCGCAGCAGAAACGGGAGATCTATTTGCTTCTCACAACAGATGCATAAGGTCGGTTTTGGTCCGCGACTAGCCGCCTACCTGCCACCTGGGGACGTGCCACGTTGCCTCGCAACTAAATGGCGTGAGATCCTTCTATAGAGAGATCCGTTTCAGAATATACAATGTGCGAAAAGTGGCAAGATTCTAGAATGAAATGTTTAATTGGAGCTTCGTGGTTGCGTTTGCACTTCAACCAGTCTAGTCGTTCTTGCTGTCTAAGTAGATCTCATTTGGTACTTTTGTCTAGATAATGTGGTTGCCTAATCGATCCATGTGGTGTTATCATTCAAACAAATGCCTAGTATATACTACCCTATTAGGAAATTGTAAAACAGTCAATATTTGAATGTCCTACACCACTCGAACCTTGGGTAGCGATAATCACACCTTGTCCAAATAGTGATCTTCAATTTTGCGAGTATTCTTCTTGACGAAATCGTACATTTGGCAATTGTCCAAATCAAGGTCGTCGAAAAGCGTGTCATTGGCGGGTAGTATGAAACTCGGGAAATAGTCTCTGAAAAACAACAGCACTAATCTATCCATAGAGCACACAAGTCAAACCCTCGTTTTCTTGGGAGATACGTGATCAATCTTATCTCACCTGAAGTTTAGCCTCCTGAAGATTTTCTTTGCATTCGTACAGTACATCGCTATAGTGTTCTCTAGGCATAAGGAATTCAAGTGAAGAAATCTGAAAAAGACTTGGGTAAACTTGACCGAAACTAAACTGCCACATAGGATTTTTTAACAATTTAATTTGAGAAACCTGCTTCAAAGCTACGTCACCTACGTCAACCTACATCAACTAAACCTAGGTTTTGAACATTCTGTTGAAAGTATGTAAATACATGGTGGAATAAGCTGTATCTTAAAGTGATTATTTTCGTACTTTAAAGAAGAGGTCATCTGTCAAAATGCTAGGCAACTTATTACCATAGTCACAAATCCTCATGGCTCAGCTTATCAAGAATACATAACTCATAATATGTGTAATATAGTAATATGTTGCAGCGTGTATCACGGTGACTATCGGTGTCCTATAATACAAACCTTGTAGTTGATTCGATCCCCACCTTGTGCTAACTAACATTCGCATCGCTCCAGGATCGGCAAATTAGTATCTGTTATGTACGATGATAAAGGCGCCAGCGGAACAGCGGAGTGGTTAGTGATGCCGTCGATCAGGAAGCAAAAGGCGCTAGTTGGATCACCGCCACAATGATTTCCTGTAGTCCACGTGTAAACGCTTTAGGCCGGTTATCTCCAAGATTACAAGGGGAATCGACTCAACCACAATTCTAGACATTCATGAAGAAGACGAAATCCTCAAGGAGCAGCTGATAGAGCACGCGAAATGTTCGAATACCCCCGTGGACTATGAATTCTAGGAAAACGAATCGAATACAAGAAGTGCTAGGATCGGCACAGTAGATGTGATGACGGGTCATGCAAAGTAAAAGAAGTGAGCTAACTGGAAGTGTCGATAGGCCCCCACAGGCTACAGTTTATCGGAGGTCAGGAATCACATGTCGTGTAGTGGTTAGAGGTGATCAGTAATACAGGCCGAATAGATCGTTGGTTCGATCTCCTGCCTTGAACTCATCAAGATTTTCATCCCTCCAAGTCTACAAATTACGCAAGACTTGTTGGAAAGATAGCAGCACCGACTTAGTGCATTTAGGCCAATGCCAGTCAGCACAGGCCAGTGTGCACTCAATCACCTTTGTAATGGATACGAATTGAGTTAAATGCATGGTGGACCCCGTAGGGTTCGATTAATGGCGAAGACTTTTATACTGTATAATAATATAAACAGTGTCCTTTTCCTGTTCATTCGTCAAAGTTGTTGCTTAGTCGAGTTAGGTGTGTTAGATGCTTGATATTCGTAGAAAATCCTTGGAGATAATCTCAAATGTGCATCACTACCACAACATAGTAAATATTAATGGGTTTTCAACTACGATGTCTGATAAAACAAAGTAATCAGTGCCAAGCAGAGTTACTCACGATAAGAAGTAATTTGACGTACCCATTAATTTGTTCAAATCTTGCGTAACGATAGCAAACAATAGCGTAGGCGGACAGCACAGTGATAGTGATGTCGGTTATCACGAGCATGGTGCTAGTTCGATTTCGCTCTGAGGCAATCAAGCCTCTCATCCCTCCGGGATCGGGAAGTTGGTACCGGATTTGTCTGGGAAAAAATCACTCTCTGCAATCCAAAGGGGAATGCCCCAGTCCGGCTATCTTAAGACCCTAGGGAGAATCGACCCGACCAGTATTCTACGACATTCAAGATGAAATGAAAATCCTCAAGCAGCAACCGAAGCCACACGCGGAAGTTGAAAGATCTTCGTGGACAATGGATGCGAGGAAACGAATTGGATGCGAGAAGTGCTTGGATCTGCACAGTAGACGTGAAGACGGGTCAAATAAAAGAAATGTTGCGTAACCATAAAATTGTCATTGCTCTGTGGTCAGGCTTATTCGTGAAGGACAGCGCCTATAGTCGAAGAAAAGACAAGACAAAGTTGTGTTGCAACAAAAGATGCATTGAGAAAGATATGCATGAAAAACTCAGTTGAATGCCACTTTTCCATGGATGACTAAAGACTGTGTTTGAATTTCCATCTTTGTAGGATTGTTCCGAAAAACTCTCCAACCCTTGGCACAAGCTGCAGTTCTACCCAAACGGACTTGATGACTTCGCCTTTAAGAAGCGATTACAAAAAATGCAGACGAAATAACAAAGATCCTAAGTGGAGATCACCTGCATATCTCCCGAGTAGGTGTGACGGAAGGATCCAATTCTTTCTTCAGTCGGCCGGCTTCATTAAGAAAAGTTGAGCATCGGACTTCCATGAACGAATGGTAGCGGCTCACACAAAGAAGAGCGCTTTCCATCTCTGGAACAGATATGGATATCCTCCAGTTAGGGGAGAAAATTCTGTGAGTTCAAAATAGAAAGGGTAATTTTTATCACGGATTTTACTACACGAACAAACCACTCGCAAGTGGATAGCACTTTTTCATACTTGCAGTGAATGTTCTGCAACTGTTTTTTACCCACATTTCTGGTAATTCTTAACTCTTTGTAGGCTTCTGAATCCTTGCTGTTTAACGTCCTTCAGCAAATGTAAATTTTTTATATAACCAACGCAGCGAAAGTGAAGGAAAACAGAATTATATCCACTTCGGGCAGAGAGGTTGTGCTGATTTGAAGAAGGGACAGTCAAGAAGAATTTAGTTTAGCTATGACGTTGTGAGTGATAAGAAACTCGAAACTGCTCTTCGAAGAGAGGAAAGGCCAGAATTCAAAAAGGAAGAGAAAAATATCTGAAGGCAAGTCGTCGTTCTCAAGGAAAGCATTCTCTGCAAGATCGCCTTTTCTACGGTGAGCAAACTGCATATCCTTACGCGAGGTTCCAACACTTATAGAACTACTCCACGAAAGCGCTGATGCGTCACACAACGGTTTCAAAAAATGTCGATTTTACTGGCAAAGTTCTTCTAACACAGAAGTTCAAGGTGGAATTGTAAATTTTCCGTTGAGTACAACTTTTTACGTTTAAACAAAGCATTTCGGAGGGCCTCTATCAGAACTTCAGTCTCTTCGTTTATTTTCAAAAGTGACTTCCCTTTAACCTCGCCGTGACTAATTGATGTTTTCCTAGATGATTAAGCTAACATGGAGCTGCATGAAATTTCTAGTTGGCTATCGTTTCGACACCTTCCCTTGTTCAGTGCAGTGTCGATCCTAGCCTTGGTTCACTTCAGTGGTTTCGACTCGATACTATTGCGAACGGCCACATCGCGAGAACAAATGGCTGTGGACAACCAACTCCAATCATTACGGCACTGAAGAAGAAGAAGACGCCGAGACGATAACCAAGTAGAAGGTCTTTAAAAACTTGCTGATAGCCTGGTCATTTGCGAAAATGTGCCTTTATAATCACAGTGATGCTGAGGTATTTGCAAAAGTCCGGACCGCGGGTGTCTGCAGGACCCACATGGTGTGGTGGTGGACACGTTAGTCCTCGGAAGGGGTAACAGCGGGTTCAATGCCCACCGCAGACACCTGCGGTTCGAAGGTTTACAAATACCTCAGCACCATTATGGCTATATTTCACGTCATACCCTACCATGAAAAAAGGAGAAAGTAAAAAGCGACAACATTGTGATTTATAGCCTTATAGCCTTCAAATTATGTCTATAAGGCCTAGTGTACCGTACATGTTGGCCAAGAAAATTTCACTTTAAGCGGAGAACCAGCCACATTAGGATTTCGCACAGGAGACACAACAGCGATCCTGCCCATGCAAACACTATACAAAGTTAACTCTTTCATTTACTGCCTTTTTCTTCTTAATGGCAGGGTATGTTTCGAATTATAACTCGTATGAAATGCTGAGATAATTGCAAAACTCCGGACCACAGGTGTATGCAGTGGAGAACGAACACGCGCTGTTGTCCTTACCGGGGAGCAGCGCACTTCACCACTACACCATCCGGGTCTTTCGCATCGCATGTCTCTCAGCTAGTTCTATCGGAAAAAGGCAGTAAATAAAAGAGTTAAGATTGTGATTATAACTAAGCCTCAGCTTAACTGGGTTCAATGCCGATATTGGCTCGCCAGATCAATCCCGTTGACGGGTGATTGCTGATGGCAAAAAGATCGATAGAACTAGCTGAGAGACATGCAAAGCGAAGGACCCGGATGGTGTAGTGGTGAAGTCCGCTGCTCCCCGGTAAGGACAACAGTGCGTGTTCGTTCCCCACTGCATACACCTGTGGTCCGGAGTTCTGCAAATATCTCAGCATTTCACACGGACTATACAAAGTGTTCCAAATCGAGGTACAAACGCAAGCACTATGGGTTCAGTGCCGCCACAAATGTTATCCCGTGGAATAGCCAAATCAATTAATTTCAAACGCCGGTCTCTAGAGCACCTCCTTCGATCCATGCGGATTTCAATCGGGTGCGCGACTGTCTCACTATAGGTATTCATCATGCGTGATTTGGAGCTCTCCAGTGCTTTTGACTACCAACAAGGCTACATATGTACTCACAGCGCGATTACGATGTGCCATCTGAAGGTCAGTAGTCCTAATACCAAACGACCTATCGTAAAGTTCAGTCTGTCAAAAAGTACCTTGACTTCGTAATCCGACAAAGTAAGTCTAAACAGAAATATGCGTGGAACGATAACATTACGAAAATATAAGATGATAGATAAATGAAGACGAGTTCATTATCCAAAAAGAAAAACTGTCCGACGAATCAATAGTCCAAGACATCACTGGCTAATTATGGCGAGGTTGATAAAGGTTGGCTTTTAGAGTTTTACTCGATGCGATTTGCTCCTTCCCATGTGAGCTGCTCAGTTGTCACTGAAGTAGGCGTTTCAGCCCTGTTCCAGTGTCTTGATAGCATACATATACCTCAAAGAATGAAAAGAATCACCTTCTTCCCAGGATCAGTTTTCTGTTAACCTCGGCCTTTCTAACAAGCTCAGGACTGCTGAGAAAGAAAACGACGCATTTATAATCACCTTCTTATTCGAAGGTCTCGAAAGAAAAAGCAGAAACAAACAAACTATCCTGAGCACTGCGCAAGAGTGCGGCAACTGCTATCTGGGGTATCCACAACTACTTACAGCTATGTCAAGTGAATATTGTTTAAAGGCCATATTTAACTAAATCAAGAGGAAGAAACGAAATATGTCCATGTCGAAATGGAACACTAAATGTTCTACTCATGATCTCGCTGAGAAGGTCGAGTTCCATGCGGGAGTTTGGAGCTCTACCTACCAGCCCTAAAGAGAAAGGAAAGAAAAGGAAACGTCTGACATTTTCTCCTACCGCTGAAAGTGGAAAGCACTGCGAAATTAGTATAAAATGTAAATTTGGCGTCACTAGAGCAAAAATCGATCTCACCTCCGAGTGCGAAATGACACTTGGAACGGACGAACTTTGTGAATGTGTCGTGCAATCCAATGGGTTCACAATGCTCGATACAATCCAAATAATCGTACACTCTCCTGAAGTTCTTCAACATTCATCTAGTAGCATGCACTGAACGACAGCACTCACCAACACAGATCTTTCGTCGTTCCCAGTGGTCGTTGTCGTTCCAGAAGTTGCCGCAGCTTTTCGTCATCGAATCCAACTCGAGCTAGTGAACGTTGATGAATCCGACCACATCGTCCAATGCATAAGTTCTGTAAGGTTTAACATACCTTTCCAAACATAGTCGTTAAGGTAGATAATCCCCTTTTTTGTAAATAATAATCTTCACCGCAATCCCTAAGTAGCAACACCGAGTCTTTGCTTCGTCGTTACTTTCATTTTGAGGTCTAAGCATAAAAGCACAGCCATTTTTTATACTCCAACGTCTCGTGATCTCTGTCCAGGCGTTCATTTCCTTGACGACATCTGCTCCTTTGTGAACTCAATTTTTCACTTGCCATAGGGTTTTTTGATTATATTAGGTGATTTCCAGTTGGACACACTAACTTTGAATTCTTCGACACAACATCTTTTGCTATTATTTTGGATCGCTTACTATCAAGGGACCGTAAAAACATTCTTGTTTCATCAAATTCTCATCACTGAAACAACAATCAATCAAGTTCATATCCATAAAGGATAAAACAAATAGGATAAAGCTCTCGGCGTTGATCAATCCCTGGGGGATGCGCCATGCATTCGACTTCATTAAGTATCGTTGGAGGTGATTGAATGCATATCTGGCCATCACAATGACTCTCAGTGGCCTACCGATGTATCTAGCCAGTGCTGCTATCCTCCCAAGCAAGCCTAACACCAATTTGTCGACAGCGGAGGGATGGAAGGCTTAGTGATTCCATGGGCGCAGGTATCGACCACATGTGTGTGTCGCAGGGCGCCTCCGACCACTGCGCCACAAGCGCCTCTCAATAACTATGAGAAATAAAAAACTAGTTATAGGATAATTTTTTGCATAGTTGAAAGGTGGTGTTGAGAATTTCACTCAACATAGTTTCCTTCATAAGCAATTTCGAAAGAATAGAAATGAATATAAAGGGAAACAAAATTGGTTGCTGTACAACTAGAGCAATGAGTAAGTAGGTAGTTAAGAACGCGTTGCACCTCTTCAGCTTTGGCGATGGAGACGAGAAGAAAGAAGATCAGCCACATCTTTCAGCGTGTTGCCACTGCATTCCACTTCAGAATTCCACGTCTTTCAATAGAAAGCATTAGTGCTTTTTGAGAGATGTGCTTCAAAGGAAACAGTAATAGACGAGAATATGAGAGTTTTACGTGAAAGAAGGAGTTTAGCGGCAGTTATTTTTGTTGACCAACATCTAGAAGTTACTGCCGCTGCTGGGGGTGTCAGATTTCTTAGAGGGAGAGCGGATCAGAAAGCAACGGATTACGTTCATTCCCACTCCGATGTAGGGTCGAGTCGAATTCCACTCAGAGTGAATTTTGGGTGAAAAGGAGTCAATTACATTCGCGACGGCAGCGGACTGAACTTACTACCTGGTCAGACATTTCCCGTCATTAATTTCCTCCGATAGATCTCCAGTCGTCAGCGGCAGAGATTCGAATGTACCCCATTATTTGGAACCATAGTTATAGAGCATTAGGACCGTTTTTGCAGCATGTAAGTAAAAAACTTGAAAATGCATAAAACGATACATACCAAATTAGTTAAATATCATTGATGAGTAATGAAAACACCGAACTACAAGTTTTAGCGAAAGGGAAATTCTACTGAAATCCATTCTACTCTCAATTCCTCTCATTCAAAGTTCCGTTCAGATGTTCTAAGCTTCATAAAAACTCGAAAAAATGTAACAGTCACAAGGCCAGTTGTTGTTTATCCATGGATAAGCGGTCAACAAGAAGTACATGGAGAG